AAATAAATAAAATAAAAAGGGGCCAGGGATATAGTACAATACAAGGCCTTGGGTTCTGTCTCCAGTACTATAAAAAAGGAAACGGACTTCTGTGGCTTTCTTGTGGAAGACGAGCGGTGCCACAGAGCTAGGACCCGCACACACCTTCTGAAGCGTGGGAGCACTGCCACATTTCTCACAACGACAGGAGGGGCACATGTGCTTGGACTCACAGACGTGGCCACTGGGCCTTTTTCTGATGGCTCAGTGTCCCCAGGGCACTGGAACAGGGTAGCTCAGTCCAGGCTGGGGTGAGGTTCTCACAGCAAGAGAGTCATAGGGTTGGTTGGCAGAGAGGCATCCAGAACCCCGATGGACCAACTTGTGTCTATCAGGGATGGCCACGAGTCCCCTGCCCCGATCCTTGCCTGTCCCAGGTGGTACCTGCTCAGTGTGTGTCACCTGCTGGTGGGGATGCTGGCAGGTTTCTGGGCCAGGGACAGGTCCTAGTACAGGTAGATGCTCCAGCATTTGTTGAATGCTTTGGAGGGAAAACTAAGGTGTTGTATTCTGTTCTCCACTCAGATCACCCGAAAATTCCGGCTGAATTCTGAAGGCAAACTTGAACAGACAGTCTCCATGGCAACCACTACACAGCCAATGACCCAGCATCTTCGAGTCACCTATAAGAAGGTGACCCCCTGACACGGAGCAGGCTGCAGCGCCTAGGGACCCTGGGGTCGTCACAGCAGCAAGTGTCCTGCTGTAGATGATGGAGGGTGGTCCAGGGGTTGCTGTAACGGCATAGAGAAACCAAATAAAAGGCCTTTATTTTTATGGCTGAGAATTTTGGATATTATCCCTGTGCAGATTGTACATTTTTTCATCTGGTGCTGATGGCTCATTTTCAAAAGGTCTTTTCCCTAAGAAATTAAGAAGGGATGCCCGCCCCCCTGCAGTTTTAACAAGATCTAAACTACATATAAATCTTCAGTAGATTAGTCAACAAGTTGAAGACAAAAGGTGGAACCAAAAGGATTGCCACTCTGGACGTGGCGGCATATATCATTGGTCCTAGCACTCAGGAGACTGAGGCAGGGGGATTGCTTGAGCCCAGAAGTTCAACCCCAGCCTGGGCAACATAGCAAGACCCTGTCTCAAAACAAAACAAAAACCATGAAAAAGAGTTACTGTTGTTGCTCATCAATTTTCAGAGTCCAAGGCCTGTTCCCTGTGATGAGGGCACTCCTGGGGGACAGGCTGCGCTGCATGGTTTTGTTTGTACTCTGCAATATAGCATGTCCTTCGTGGTGGTGGCATTTTACACGATGAAGCTTTTTAGATGCCCACTGAGCCTTGTGCCACTGCTCAGCTCACCTGGCACCTTGTGGGCTGGATCTGCTTCACAAACAAGGCCTTTGGCTCAAAGCACCAGGCAGGCCCAGGGTGGGATACGTGGAGTGTGAACCATGTGGAGGGAACCCAGGGGCTGGACCAGAGCCAGCTGTGCTGCCTGTGCCCAGAGGCCCTGCCACTTACCCCGCTCCACACAGCAGGGCAGGGGCTCTTGTGAGAGATGAGGCACATGGCTGACATGGTCCTAGGCCATTTTGGGTTCTTATTTTCATTTGAGGGGTTTGTGGGTATTGAACCCAGGGTCTTTACACTGAGCTGTATCCCTGGTACTTTAATAATTTTAAGACAAGGTGTTGCTAAATTACTGAGTTGCCCAGGCTGGGCTTGAACTTGAAATTTTCCTGCCTCAGCCTTCCTGAGTGCTGGGGTTACAGGCATGTGCCACTATGCCCAAGTTCTGGTGCCTTTTTCTCAATCACTGGCTTGTCCAGGCCACAGGTGCCCATATGGCATGACAGCTGTCAGGACACTTTGATCTGGAACAGCCCCACGTCCCTCCCTGAGCTCATTGGCCACTTGTCCCCAAGCTGCCCTGCATGGATCCTTGGCATCCTCCCTGCACAGCTCTTCATGCCATCCCTGGTCCTGTGTCCTGGTTGCAGATGCAACCCTGGGTGCTCAGTTCCTCCCAGCATGGCACACAGAAACCAGGCTGGTGGGCAGCCCAGCCCTGTGTTGTTATTTTCTCCTTAGCCTTCTCCCCACTGCCTGACCTGGCCCCTCCCTTCCATGGAACCGAGGGCCTCACCATGCTTCGCCCCAGCCCTTGCTGGAAGCTGTTTTACTTTCATTTGCAATTGTGTTCTACTGTGTTTACCTGGTGCTGTGAATGTGTTTCTTCTGCTTTCTCGGGAACACTTTACCCTCCTGCAGCCGCCTCTCCTGTCAGGGACAGTCTGCCCTTCGTATCTCCCTGGACAGTGGGAGCTCAGTGTGGCTGTGCTCGGTGACCAGAGAACCTATACCTAAACCCTTAAGCTCAGCTCTGCTCTGCATTTTTAAGCATGTGCAGCAAAATTCAGCGTTTTCTGGGCCACCAACCCTGTATCCCAGGTCCATTGTTGGGCCAGGGCTGACAGCCCACCAGTACCACCTAATGGCACATATGACTTGGTTTTTTCTTTTGGTTGTTTTTTTTTTTTTTTTGCCCTGGAAGGTTCTGAACCCAGAACCTTTGCACTGAGCTACATTGTCAGCCCGTTTTTTTCTTGAGACAGGATCTCACTAAATTGCCCAGGCTGGGCTCAAACTTGGGATCCTCCTGCCTCAGTTTCCCAGTGCTAGGACTACAGGTATGTGCTACCACACCTGGCTAGACATAGTTTCTTTTTTTTGGTACCAGGGATCAAACTCAGGACCTTGAGCTTGCCAGGCAGGCACTGTGGAACTGAGCTATATCCCCAGCCCACAGACATCACTTCTTTAAAGTGACATCTTCTAGATACTTGGTGGCTGTCAGGATATGCACACCCTACACAGCCTGGGCAGTTTTACAGGTGTTCTTAAAGTGAATGTGAGATGCAAAACTCTCGTGTGATTTTTGTAGGTTCTGGGTCAAGAGAGTAGTGAACACTTTGGCAAATCACCTCAGTGATGGTCTGCAGGAAGAGAAAGAGCCTGTGCCAGTTTAATCAAGTGCTGTCCGTTTCTCTTGCAGACTGGGTATCTGGGGGTGGCAGCCGAGATGCAACCTGGGCACTTGGGCTTCTGCCTGCTGGGCCCTCGGCCTCTAGGACTTTACAGGGACAGAGTTGGGCGTGTCCTGCCAGTCTGAGCCACACAGGTCACAACCAGAGCCCAGGCCTCCTCCCCAGCCGACTGCCCTGGGCTGGAAGTGCACACACACAGGACGTGTTTGCACCCAACCTCTAGGATCGTAAGGTTTCTTATTTATGGTCTTTGATTTTATCTTTTAAACTGAAAACCTTGATTCACTGAATTGTTTGCTTTACCTTACAAGTATCATTGTTTCCAGATAATAATAGCTATTAACAAGAAGTCTGTTGATTGAAGCTTCAGTATTTTTGCTATTCCCCTATACTTTTCCCAGTGAAGCTATCAAGTTAAAATATATTGTAATTGGAAAAAAATATATATATATATATATAGTAACTGGAATAATTTCTCTCTAGGCTTATATCTCCAGTTTGGCATACAAGTTAATCCGTTTAATTTCTAGAAATTGATTATTCTCTTGCTTAAGCTATTTTATTCATGCAAATCATTTTACTTGGGTTTTTGTTTGTTTGTTTTTGTTTTCAGCAGTACCAGAGATCTAACACAGAGCCTTTGAATTGGGCTACATGCCCCAGCCCTTGTTTATTCTTGTTTTGAGACAGGGTCTCACCAAGTTGCCGAGGATAGGCTCCAGCTTGCATTTCCCCTGCCTCAGCCTCCCAGACTTTGGGAACAGGCGTGAGTCACCAAACCTGGCTTAGATGTTCCTGTGGTCAGAACTGAAATGAGGCACGCTTGTCCTGGAGGCGTACGGCAGAGGGCTGCAGCGTGGGTGCCAGTGGGTGTCCTTGCCGACTCATCCAGCAGATCCCCCTTGGGGCAAGGACTGCTCACACCTCCTCTTGATCAAATGTGTCAGACTGAACAGCCTCCACACGTGTCACATGGGGATTTCCCAGGGCATCCAGTGACAGGCTCTGGAAGTGGGGTTGCCAGTTATATACCCAGTGCTTACATGGCTGGGGGTGCTTTCTCCATGGGGACACACTGCACCCCACCCCTCAGGTGACATGTCTATTCTATGGACAACAGAGAATGGTGTCCCATTTGGACTGGGGCCAAGCCAAGAGGCAAAAATAGGGCCTTGGGGTACTTTTAGGTTGCATTTTTCTTATATTCTTTTTCTTGATTTTCAGAGCTCATGAAGTTTATTTTTTGTTGGTTTTTTTGTTGGTTTTTTTTGGTGTTGCTGGAGAGTGAACCCAAGGCCTTGTGCTTGCAAGGCAAGAACTCTACTACTGAGTCACATCCCCAGCCCTCAGGAGCTCTTTTGAATTAGAAATATTTATCCTAATATCCTTTGTTGTAAATTATAATTTTTTTAAGGCAAAATGCTAATAACATGAAATTCAACTTTTTTTTTTTTTGAGACAGGGTCTCAGTAATTCAGGCTGGCCTCGAATTTGAGTGCATCCTCCTGCCTCAGCCTTCTCCTTAATGCACTACCACACCCAGTTCAAAATCCAACATTTTACCCATCTCAGAGTGCACACTCAATAGTCATCCTTAGTCACCATGTGGTGTAACCATCACTTCTGTGTCCACACTTTCCTCTCTAAAGGAAACCCCTACCCATGTAACTTTTTTTTTTTGTCTTTTTGAGACAGGGTCTCACTATGTAGTTCAGGCTGGCCTCAAACTGACAACGATCCTCCTGCCTCAGCCTCCTGAGCACTGGGGTTACAGGCGTGTGCCACCACACCCTGCTCTGCTTTGTTTTCTTACTAGTGCTTTTGAAAATGTTCAGTATTTCCATTTTTCCACTATGTATTTTCTCTTTATTGTTCCTGGATTTAAGCTCATGTAGGAAGACTTTGTCCACCCCAATTCCCAAGGAAGTCCTCTATTTTTCTGGTACTGCAGCGCTCATTTTTTGTGTCCCTCCTGTTCCACATGGCATTGTCCTGGCATGTGGGGTGCAGTGCAGCCCCGTCCCAGTTAGCTGTCAAGGCTGGCAGTTGCCTTGCATTTATGAGAAGCTTCCCCCTGGGGGGGAGGCAGTGAGGTGACCCCAGCCTGGGCACCATTTCAGGGCCCCAGAGCCCAGGGGCCTCTTGTGCTTCAGTGCCCCTCAGCCCAATGGAGGCAGCAGGACTGGGCTCCCCACACTTTGCTTTGGGGGTTTTCCTGGCTACTTTTGCTTCTCTCTCATGAACTTCATAATCAGCTTATTTAAATTTGGAGGAAAATCTCCTGGCGCTTTTATAAGGATGACATTAGTTTCATGACTGTGCGACAAGGTGGTTTATGAGCATTTCTCCACCTGGGAACAATTTTTATCTCTTCCCATGTATTTAGTGTCTTTAAGGTATTTTGGGGGGTTTTCTTCTGTCTGCTTGCTGCTGCCATTGTCTTCTAAGTTGCGTGCACGCCCAGCCACTGGCCTCCGTACTGCTTTAAACCCTTCCCTTCTCTGGGTTCCCTGTGCCCAAACACCCCTTTCTTGTGCTAGCAATGTCTCACAGCCTCTGCTCTGGGAGGGCAGAGGGTGGAAGGCAGCCTGGGCAGGTGGCAGCTGCCCATCACAACATCAGAAGTTCTATCTCAGCTCCACCTGCTGCCATTGGGCAGGCGGCTCTGCGACTGCCAGCTAGTGTCCCAGACAGATCCACACAGCTCCCTCAGGTATGGGAGAAGCAGACAATGCTCCAGGGTGGGGAGCAGCTCGGGGCAAGGGGCAACCTGGACCTCAAGCAGAAAAACCTCCACCCCAAGACCCTGCCTCAAAGGAGGCTGAACAAGGCTGGAAGATCTTAGCAGTCATCTGGCTCAACCTTTGTTGAACAGAAGAGTAAGCTGAGGCAGGGAGGGTGTGTATCCAGCTCCCAGGCTGGTGTGGGGGCTGGGGAGGACATCTGCATCACAAGCAGGGAGCTCCTGACTTGCATGGAGGCTGCCTGGAGGAGACAACTCAGGAGCTACAGTAAGATGAGGAAGAGTAAGGCAGATGGGCCCCAGAGCAGGTGCACCTGAGCAACCAGCACTGGTCCTGTGCACACGCCCATGAGTGTGCACACGTGTGTGAGCCTCCAGGGGCTCAAGCAAGACAACCTGGACTAGAGGAGAGGGTAGTCTTACCCAGCTGTTTCTGAAGCACTTGAGCTGCTGCTTCATCCTGGTGGGGGTAGGGGCAGGGTTTTTTTTCCTTTTTTTTTTTTTTTTTTTTTTTTTTTGCAGAAAAGGGATTGAATCCAGGACTTCACTCTGAGCTAAATCTCCAGCCCTTTTAAAAATTTTGAAACTGTTTCGTTAAACTGCCCAGGCTGGCCTCAAATTTGAGATTATCCTGCCTCAGCCTCACAAAGTGCTGGGATTACAGGCTCATCCATGCTGGATGCATTCGTCCTGGTGGACTCAGCCTCCAGCATCGGAGTCCTGAATGACACTGGTGGGTGCAGAGTAACCCAGGGCAGGATTTCAAAGCGGAGTGACAGCAGTGGTTGTGCTTGAGGTGTTGCAGATGAGGCGGGCAGGTCCCTGGGCAAGGGAGGTTGGAGTGCTGGCCGTGGATGAGGGCAGCCGGGGGAACAGACCCACCAGCATCCTGCCACCCTGCTCTCTGGCTCCCTCTGCATGAGGCCCAGGGAAGAGGCTCTCTGGCAGCCACCTGTGGGCCCTTCTTCATGGGGCACCCTGCGCCCAGGGACAGGGAGCCTGGGAGTCAGGCACTGGGAGAAAGGCTTGCTGCTGCTCAGGGTGGAGGCCCCATGCTTCCCCGCGGTCTTCCCTCTCAGGAGCCTCATTTCAGCTGGGTCACCAGTGAGGCTGGGAGCTCAAAGTGCACCCCGGTCACCAGAAGGACAGGGCTCTGGGGCTCAGTCCATGCCTGAAGAAGATATAACTTTTCAGTTATTTATGGGGTGCCTAAGCTGGGAGTGAAGTCCCTGAGCTCATCCTTTTTTTTTTTCACTGTCCAACACAGTTGGACCAGTAGCAACCCCATGACCTTAGTTTGGCTCAGGTCACCTGAGCCCTGCCTCCCCTAAGAAACGGAGCAGGAGCTCCAAGGGTAACACCCCAGTGCCTGCTGCCCTTCACACCCGGTATCCACACTCACTCTTCCCATGGTTGGGAACAAGTGTTGGTGTCTTCAGACAACAGACAGAGCAGCAGTCCTAGGAGCCCTCTGCCCAGTGTTTCCAGCAGCTCCTCACACCTCCCGTGGTGCTGGGACATGAAACTGACTCTGTCTAACATGAGAACAAGTTGGAGTTTATTCCCAGCATCCCTCCCCGGGCCTGCCTGCCACTGACCCAGGGCTGCATGGGCCCCCATAGCACACAGCCTGGCAGGGGGACAGGGCGTCTGCAGGGGGCACAGGGAGCTGGAGGAAGCAGCTCTGGCCACATGCCCTCCTCAGTGCCATGTCACTTGGGCCGGACTGGCTGGCAGGGTCTGTGGACCTAACATGTGCCCTGCCTGGGAAACAACACTGAGGAGAAGGTCGGGGGAGTCAGGCCTCCGATGCTCTGAGGGGCCAGGCTCCCAGTGTCTGAGTTCTCAGTCCTGAGGGCAGCGCAAGGGACAGATGAGTCATTCTCGCCCTCAGGGGACAAAGCCTCTGGCTCAGCTCCCACAGACCATCCTGTCCACAGCTAGAGCCCCACACCCTGCCCCCACACCAGGACCCCGTCCCGCTCATGGCAGATGCATTCTCTGCATCAGGCTCAGCAGCCAGCACACAGGCCCTCAGACTGCTGCCCCTGAGACCAAGGCCAGCTCACATCCTGCTGTGGCCCTTTCTGGGGCAAGGCCCAGGGCTGCCCCTGGGTCTTGGGCAGACGCTCTGCGAGGAGGATAGGCATGGGGCTCAGGAGGGGGACAGGCTGTCTGGGTGCCACAGGGTTCCCAGGTCGGACACAGGGTACCAGGCAGGCACTCATCTCTCCGGCAAGAGTACGAAGAAGGCAGCTTTCAGGAAGCGCCCGAAGCTGCACAGCGCGGCCACGAGCCAGTGTGAGTGGAGGCCGGGATCGGTGCTGACCACGCACTTCAGGATGTCAGTCTGCAGGGAGGAGGGGACAGTCAGAGAGAAGGGCCAGGCCCCCAGCCCCAGGGGCCTGTACCACTCGGGCCTGCAAGGATACCTGGGGAAGGAGGAGAGCCCAGCATGTGGCAAGGCCCTGTGAGCTCCCCAGCCAGGGCCACCTCTTAGCTGGTGCCCCTCAGGTGCAGCAAGCCCAGTACCCCTGCTGGGGCCCTCAGAGCCTACACCACCAGGAAAGGACCAACTTGGCCTCAGACTCAGGCTGAAGACCCTACCAAGAAGTGACCCCGGTGCCACCCAGAGCACATATACACACCCCGTGAGCCCAGCCTGGTGGAGGGGAAGCCAGGTTCAGAGGATGAGGGCAGAGTCCCCAAGCCAGGGGCCTGGGCATGGAGGAGGCTCCACAGGCAAGGGCCTCAGTGTTCTCTCTCCACCATGGGACCCTGTGGAGGAGCCAGGGTGACAGGACAAAGGCCCCTGGTGGCTAGCTGAGTTCTCCTGAGGTGAGGCCAAGGGCCCGCTGGGGCTGCAGTCTTGCCTGAAGGCTGCCCAGGGCAGGAAGGAGACACCAAGGCCACTGTCCCTTCCCTCCTCCCTGCAGAGCCTGGGAGTCTGGGCACCTCCTCTCGTGGGTCATCTCAGATAGCCACTCCTGCTGGGTGCCTCCTGGGGATCACCGGTCTTGACCTCAGGGTGGGGTGGGAGCTGGATCCTGGCTGCCCACAGGCCCCAAGTTGTCCTGGACCTTGAGGCCTGGGCCGGCCACCCCGTCTCCATGCAATGCAGTGCTCACCCATCCACCGCGCCGCCGCAGCCAGGCAGCCAGGGTCTTTCGCACAAACTCCCCCAGGCAGTCGACCAGGGCGTGAACCATGGCAGGCTGGGCCTGTCGTACACAGTCCACAGCCAGCCCTGCAGCCACTGCGTAGAGGGACACCACCTTGCCCCATGTGATGCCTGCAGAGAGAGAGCTGCAGGTGAGGGGAGGTGCCCACCAGGACCCCACACCAACATGGTGCTGGCCAGTGGACCCCAACGTGCCCAGCCACCATCTTCATGGTCAGTCCTGCCCAGGTTCAGGGCAGTCCTCAGGCAGATGGATGTCCGGCCCCCAGGGCACATTGCTCCAGACCCATCAGCCCACTATCTGATGGAGGAGGTCACAGGGACCGAGAAAATAACACCCTGGTGGTGCCCACCCTGGCCTGTTCCTTCTGAATGGCACTGCTGGGCAGTGGGGTAGACCCACTGTGCAGTGCACGTGTGGTAAGGACTCAGGTTCCAACCACGGACCTCCTGAGAGCCAGGAACGGGACAGGGCTCCCTGGGAGGAAAAGACACAAAAGATGAGGGAAGAACATGCTTAGGTCATGGGATGGGATGCTTCCTTGTGCTCACACTGATAACCCAAATACAAGCACAGAGCAGGAATGGGCAATTCACAATAAGGTGCAAATAACACATTAGAATTTGAAAAAAAATTAACCCCACTAATAATAATAAGGTAAATTAAAATGAGATGTAGGGGCTGGGGATTTAGCTCAGTGGCAAAAGCGCCTGCCTGGCAAGCGCAAGGTCGTGAGTTCGGTTCCCGGTACCGGAGAAAAACCAAATGATGAGATGAGATGTAGATCATGACTAATCCCATCAAAGCCATGAAAAGCCCTGTAAGGATGAGATGCTGGCAGCCACAGCGCATGCCCCTGGGGGACAGAACACTGGCAGAAGCAATGTGTACAAAGTCTATACAGCACCCTTGATCCACCTTCCCTGTACCCAGGAGACTTCTGACAGTGCTGCTGCAGCACAGCGGGACCACCACTGCCACCCACGGGTGACAGGGGCGCCAGAGGCAGCCCCAGCCATAAGGGAGCGAGGGTCTGATGCCTGCCGCATGCTGAGCCTTCAGACGTGGGAAGTGGAGGCTACAGCTTCCCTGACTCAATGCACATGAGAGGGAAGGACTGGCCAGGACAGGCAGGCAGGCACACAGACAGATACACATAGGTGGCATCTGGGGCTGGGGGTCAGGACCACAAGTAGGCCCCACATTCTGGGCAAGAAAAACTCCTGAAACTGACAGGTGGAGATGCACAGTGAGGAATGGGCCAAATGACAGAGCTGTGCGCTTCAGAATGGCCTGTCACGTGACACAGGAGTTTCGCCTCCGTAAGTAGGAGAACCCTAAAATCAGACCATCACTTCTGGGCCTGAACTCTATTGATGCTATGTCCTATTTCTTTCCAAATAAATCCAGCTCTAAGATCCCATCTGTGTTGGCCTGGCCACCCTCAGTGGTGGCCCTATCCCAGGTGAACTCAAGCGCCACCTGGTCCTCGGTCTGCCACACTCCTGCCCAGGGCTCTGCCCCAGGTCAGCAGGCCCACAGGCACCCAGTGGCTCTGCTCCTGCCTGTGCCCAGGGCACTGGGTTGCATGTGGACAGTGACAGGACCTCAGGGCCTGATGCCAGGAATGTACACCACAGCAGCTGCCATCTGTGTAGCTGGCAGAAGAGCTCGATATCCTGTCAGAGAACAGTATGCCCTCAGGCTGCGGTGTCTGGAGCCCACAGGGCCCATGGGAGCCATGTGCTGGGATGTGTAGAGGTAGGAGCTCCTGCTTTCCCTGGACTCTTGTATTTTCTTTCTTTCTCACTGAGACATAATTTCATTACCACAAAATTTATCTTTCAAAAGTGGGGTGCTGCAGGATGAGGCAGGAGGATCAGTGTGAGTTCAAGGGTAGCATAGGCACTTCATGAGTTCAAGCCCAGCCTGAACTGTAAAGCAAGACTGTCACAAACAAACAAACAGTGGGCTGTTACATTTGTCATCTTCACAACATTGCACAATGACCCAATCCCAGGACATCTTCACCACGCCAATGGTGGCCCCGTGACTGCTGTGAGCAGTCACTCCCCACATCCTCTTCATCTCTGACCACTTCAGGCTCACTTTGGTCTCCACAGAGCTCCCTACTCTGCACACTTCCCAGGAGTGGAACCACACAATCTGCTCTGCTCTGCTCTGCGTCGGGCACACGTCACTCAGTACCTTGCTGTCGAGGTCCCAGCACATGTCAGCACTATTCCTTTTTACAGATGAACAATATTCCGTGTTCTTTGGTCAACTGAGGACACATGGGTTTTTTTCCCTGTGTGTGTATGCATCGTATTTGGGATGGCACCCAGGGCTTCTAGCTGAGCTACATCCATTTATTTGTTTGTTTATTTTTGAAACTGGGTCTAAGTCACTAAGTTGCCCAGTCTGGGTTTGAACCTGCCATCTTGCTCAGAACTTCCCGAGTGCTGGATGACAGGCGTGGGTCACCACGCCCAGCTCATTTCTACCTTTTAGCTGCGATGAGTAACACACTACGAACATTCCTGTGCAAGTTTCTGTGTGGCGTGTGTTTTTATTTCTCTTGGGCATATGCCGAGGAGTAGATCTGGCGGATAATCTGGTGACTCTAATCATCTGAGCAACTGCCAGACTGGTTCCCAAAGCGGCTGCACCACTCAGCGGCAGGGCACCATACGAGGGACCTGGGATTACCTGCCAGGCTGGCTGTGCTCATGCGTCTGAAGCAGCCTCGACCGGCACTTCTCTAAAGACAACAGACACCTTTCAGGCGCTTCCTGGCTTACTGTCTTGTTTCAGAGTTGTGTCTGTGTTGCTGCGGGGCAGCCACGCAGTCTTACGTGCCCCAGCAGCCCTCTGCTCTGCTCCCTGCTCCAGTGGTGCTGGGGCTCAGAGGGTTCAGAAACCACCAGAGCCTGGAACCTGGCCCAGAAGGGTTCCCTGCCCACCAGGACCAGCTGGGGTGGACACAGCAATGGGGCGGGGGCAGCTGTTGACCTCTACAGGCTTCAGCTGAGCTCCCCTAGAAAGCAGGCGCCTCACCATCATGGTCCTTAGCACCGTCACCTCTTCTCCCCACCTCTATCCTCCCTCAGGGCCCCACAGGCAGAGGCACTGCCCTGCCCTGCCCCCAGCCCTGTCGCCCCACCTTGCAGGGCTCCAGCCCCCTGGCATCCAGAGCTGACACTTCGGAATGAGCATTCCTGCCTTTTCAATCCGGCCCAAGGCTCATAAATTGGCCCAGGGGCTCAGAGACAGACACCCAGGCAGCACCCACACACCAATGACATGCCAGGGTGGGGTGAGGTGGTCACAGGCCCAGGCACTGCTACTCTGCTTCCTTCCCAAGCCTCACTCACAGCGATCTCCACCAGGAGCCCCCCGGGGCCCTCTCCTTGCCCCACGCTCCCCACAGGGCATGGGGGCTGCACCAACTGACCCATCTGTCCTGGAATGCGCCTCGGCCTCAAGGAGCCTCTCCTCTAGGCCACACCCACCCCAGGCTGTGCACAGGGCCCAGAGAGCCAAAGTAAGCCCAATGTGGGGATCACAGACCATCTGTAGATTATGAAGGCAGCAGGCTGAGTACCCCAAGGAGTGCGGGGAGTCCACCGCTTCACTGACCTGGCCACTCTAGCCCATACCACAGCCTGTGGCACCTGCTGCTCCTCGGGAAGGGTCCAGTGTGTGCTGCAGAAACAGGTGAGCCCACAGCACAGATCTGATCCCTTCCAGGACCCAGCCTGGGCAGCCAGCCCTTCCACAGCCCCCACTGCTCCACTCACCACGCCCCAGCCGTGGTGACCCTGGTGCTCTCCCAGTGTACCAGCCACCAAGTAGGAAGGCAGAGCCAAGTCCAGCCCACGCTGCCTCTAGGGTCTGAGGGGCCTCCCCAAGAGAAGACACGGGGTCAGCACAAGTCACTCCCCAAGCGTTGGGGGGAAAGCCTGCTCTGAGTAGGACGCAGCTGCTCCCCACTCTCCTCCTTGGGAGGCCAGGGTCACCAGGCTACCTGGAGGCCATCTTCATATGATGGGGACTGTGGCTTCCCCAGCACCCTTAGCTTCTGCCTGGTCCTCACACGCTAGGCGCTGTCCTGGGCTTCCTGGGTTACGCGTGCCTGGCAACCTACCTGTTGAGAAGATGTGGCCTGCCACAGCCAGGAACGCATCAGTCACCACAGGCTCTGACTGCAGGGAGATGTGCAGCTGGCGGGCCACATTGCGGTACACACTGGGCCGGATCTGCTCCAGCTCATCCCCTGGTGGACACACACATGGGTGAGAGGCAGCTCACACGCAGCCCCTGGCCAGGCTGGCTGGGGACCCCATGACCTCTAGCCTGATCACCACCTGACTTCATCCAGCCCCAATGCCACTAACCTGATTCTCATCCCCACCTTCTGACCCCACCTGACCTTGCCTGCTGCCCCCCAACCTCAGGCCCTAGGGACAGAGGGACCCAGGCGGTACTGGGCCCCAACAAGTCCCCAGGACTGAGCTGGCTGGGCCAGTGAGGCAAGACTCCGTCGGAGGAGCGTGGGCCGTGCCCGCTGGTGACTCACGGCGGGCAGCCGGCAGATGGGCAGACAGCTGAGCTGCTAGGGCGGGCGGCAGGAGGGACAGGAAAGCGGCCAAGGCCTAACCTGGGGAGGGGCAGGCATTGGAGCCCACACAGGCAGGCAGAGCGGCCCCTCAGAACCTCGAAGGGGCTCTTGGCCTGGTCCACTGGGTGAACTGACTCAAGAGAGCAGAGCCCAGCCTTGGCTTCAACACTGCACACCCCCTAGCCTGGGCTCCTGGACAGGAGTGCCTGGCCCACTGAGGAGGAAGCAACTCCCATGCCTGCCGCCTGGGGGCTGGGACACCCTTGGCACAGGGTGTAAGCACTGGGGAGACAGTGCTGGGAATTCCACACAGCCCCCGGCTTGGGTGTCCCCGGCCCAGCCACTTCACCAGCCAAAGCAAATAGGGAAATGCTGCCGACTGGACGTGCCAGTGATAAGGCCAGCTGTGCTCCATCTAAGTAATTAAGATCTGGAACAAGAGCAGAACCCCAGGCCAGCCAAGGGTGGGGGTGGCATGGAAATTCCCAGAGCTGGGCTGGCTGCTCCCCAGCACAGACCTTGGAGGCCTCCCTGGACGGACACAGCTGCAGGGTCACACAGCGCTGCGCAGAGAGCCTGGGGCCTCGCTGCAGGCCGGGGAGGCGGCAGCAGAACGAAACCACGCTGCCTTCCCAGGAACCCCCTCAGCTATCAATACGTGCTCACCTGGGGGTGCGGAAACTCTGAGGTAGGTCAGAGGAGACTAGAGCCAGCCTGGGCACACAGCAGCCTGGCCAGAGGGTGGGCAGTGGCCCTCAGAGAGTACTACTCAACAGACTGAGCACTCCTGGCTTGGCCAATCCTCCAAGTAGGCTCACTCCCTTCTGTTCCCCACTGCTCCCCAGGACACTGCCCCCACACTCCCGTGCAGCCTGCGTCTACACAGCCCTGCTGCCGGGGGCTAGCATAGCACAGAGCAGGGTCCACAGCAGAGTGCAAAGCACACACTGTTGCCCCAAGGCCACTCCTGCAAGGGCACTGGCTCCCACCCACACCACTCAGGGCTCCTCCTTCCCGGGCACAAACGCAAGGCTGGCTGGCTCTGTGGGTTGGCCGAGGGTCTGTCGTCCACCTCGGATGGCCCATACCTCGGGGAAGGTGCAGAGAGTCTGGGGCCTGTGACTCCAGAGACAAGTGCCCCACTGCTCCCCTGGGAGCCGGGGAGGTCTCCAAATGCAGGGAAAAGAGCAGCATGGGATTTCGGCCAGCAACTGAAAGTCCTCTTTTCCAAAACAAACACGGGACACGTGGTCCCACCAAGGATCTCTGCGCCCCCGCCGAGTCCAAGGGTCACTCTGAGGCTCAGCCGCTAGACTAGGCGAGCTTTAGCTTTCCGCTAGTGCTGGCCAGGATGCCAGGGCTGCAAGCAGACGTAGGGGCGCTGGGGGGAACCGAGGCCGGGAGAGGGTACTCACCCAGACGCAGCAGCACAGCGCACACCTCCGCCAGGCGGCCCCCCGGCACCGCGGCGCGCTCGGGCGCGCTCCAGGCCAGGCCGGCGCGCAGGAGCCGCGCGTGCACGAACTCCCGGCCCAGCGCCTTGGCCTGGGCCACCAGCTCTTTGTCGGTGGGCGTGCGCTCAAAGGCGTCCATGATCTCGGCGGCGAGGACCGAGGAGCGGCGCAGGACCTCCATGGCGAGCACGCGGACGGGGGCCGCCACACCTGCGGGGACGGCACTCAGGGGACCCG